GAGATGGGATTACAGCCCCCATGGCAATCACAGCTTGCCCAACGCTTCACCACGGCCACCACGGTGCCTGGCAGGCGTGTGCCAGCCCCACATCATGCCCTGGGGTATCAGGATTTCAGGTACACCTCACCCACGACCTCATAGGGGAAGTTTCTCCAGCCGAAGATGGGAGCATCAGCGAATTGGTCATCCATGGCCCCCCTCACCATTGAGGTGGAGGTCCCCATGTCCCACATGTACACGGATGAGATCTCCCCCACGAAGGATTGCTGGGTGTCAAAGCCACCCCCGAAGGAATCCTGCTCCTGCCCCAGCACGATGGATGCTTTCTCCCCCACCGTGTAACCCTTCTGGAGACCCTTACGGGGCCAGGGGTTCCCATTGAACCAAAACCCCACGATGCCCGTGGTGGACTCCCAACTGGCACAGACGTGCTCGCTCTCCATGATGTTCTTGGGGATGCTGAAGGACACAAATTTGCCCCCCACATAGAACCGGTACTCGCTGGGGTTGGGCTTGAAGAGGAGGATCTCATTGTCCTGTGCTTTGGTGGTGTAGGAGAAGAGGCTGTAGGGTCGGGTCAGGTCAGTGTAGGACCTCAAGCACACGGTGAAGTTCTGCAGAGGTTGCTCCAGCTTGGCCTTCACCAGCACGTGGGAGTGTTTGGTTTCTTGAGGAAACACGAACACTTTATATATCAGGTCTGGGAGAAGTGAAGAAAGAAGTTGCTGCTCCTGCCATGGCAAAGGCATCCAGACAAGTCCCCCCCCAAGGGGAAACAGGGTCATGGTGTGACAGTGAGGAAGCCACATCAACCTGGAGGTAACCTCCAGCATCAAACCCAGGGGTGGCTTCCACCACCAAGACCAGCCACCCATGGGCTGTGATCCAGGGTGGCACGAGCACAGGGTGGTGAGGACGAGCTGTGGGAAGGAGGGGAAGAGCCCTTGTCCCCAGTTGTCCCCTCGATCCCCTCCCTACCTTCTATCCACAGGTTGTACTTGGCCACGGCGGTGCCCAGGGAGCTGGTGGCTCTGCAGATGTAGGTGCCCAAGTGGGTCTTGTTGAAGAAGGGGAAGAGGAGGATGTTGTCAGGACCTTTCTGCAGGGGCTTGTGGCTTCCTTCCTTCTCCCACAGGAACTCCTGGGGGCTGAACCAGGCTGGGGGTCACTCAAGTGGGTGGGCACCCCAGGTTGGTCATGCCACGGGGGTAGGGGGACATGGATGGACCATGGTGCTCCATCTCTAACCCCTTCTCCTGCTGCCCATGGAGCTGGGGATACCAGAGCTGCCTGCCCCACACTGGTGCTGTGTCGTGGGAGGGTGGGGAGCACCTTACCTGGGGTCCCCCTTCACCTCGCAGGAGAGCATCAGCTGGTGGTACAGGGTGGGTGCTGGTGGGTGAGCTTGGATCTGGGCCATCACTTTTTCTGCAGCACCCAGAGAGAAAGGGACAAATTCTCCCTGTCCCCACCCCATGGGGTTTGGCTACACCAGCCTGTGGGATCCCTGTGTCCCCACTGCCACCCCTGCTGCACCCTCAGCTCACTGCCCTGAGCCCACTGCACCCCTCTGCAGAGCTGCGGGGGCTTCTTCCACTGCACAGCTATTGTGTGACCCCCACGTCTCCACCTGCACCCACTGCACCCCACTGCCCCCACTGCGCCCCTCTGCAGTGCTCAGGGTGCCCCACTGCTCCCCACTGTCACCACCACTGCATGCCCCTCTGCTCCCCACTGCCACCACCACTACATGTCCCCCTGTACCCACTGCACCCCTCTGCAGTGCTCAGAGTGCCCCCACTGCTCCCCACTGTCACCAC